CGTTTTTGTCACATCAGTGTTGGTCGCAGCCGACTTACTAATGGCTTCACAGTTGCGCCAAGGAAAACAGAGTTTTGCTTTTTACACGATCTGGTTGGTGCAACCAGTCTATTTTCAGCACATTTTCTAATGGAGACGTGTATAAGAAAGCGATTTGGATAGAAAAACACAATTACGTTTAGATTTTGGATCATTTTCATAACACAGATGTGTAGTTTATGTGAAAAACCTTCAATTCTTTCTGTTTTTTCACAGCTCCTGGCTCTGATAAATGGCAAAATTTTAGCAATTTATTGACAATAACAAGCCTTTCAAACCTACCACAGGATTGTGGGGTTCAGAGGGTTAATGCCCCCATCTACAGGCCACGAGTGATCACCAAATGGTTTGATAAGAATTAAAAGGATGTGAATCAAATGCAGTGGATTTGAAATCACCAGCTGTCAACACAACTGAACACCAACAGAAGATTTTGCAGCCATGAGTCAAGACAGCATTTTCCACCACCGTCATCATCAAAAGCACAAATCTCCTGTTGACTTCCAGAGACTTAGAGAATCAATGCCGAGGTACCAGAACCTCACTGTCACACTGTGTCATTTCTCCTTTAATTTGTTCCCTACTTGTATTTAAAACACGATGTTAATGGAGCTGCCCATCCCAACAGGTAACACACCTTCTGAAAATTCACCTGAAATGCAACACAAAAGCAGAAACGCTCCTTCTCACACTGCTTTTTGTCGAACCAAATAATACCATGGTACACTGCAGCAGCAGCAGCAGCAGCAGCAGCACTGATGACTGTTTTACTGCTCTACGTATGCTCGCTCTATGCTAAGCCTCAGTGCTTAACATTATAAGAAGCAGCCAGATGTTTGCTTTGCTTTATAACAGCACAAGTTCTTTTGACTTCTGCGAGAATAAAAAAAGCCGAGTCATGATCCATATGAGAAACTACAGAAACACCCTTAAACTAGCAACTTAAACGTCCAGGGTTAAGCAAGCGCTGCATGCAAAACTCCAAATAATGAAATCATCTCTTCAGTCACAACACAGTGCAACGTGATACGTAATAGGGATCATAAGGGAGTCTGATCCTGCTTCCTCAACAACATGTTCTCGTGTGTGGCAACAGGCGTTGTGAGGAAATGAATACATGCACCGATTCTTCTACGAGTAGGCCCCTAGATTGTCCTTCATCAATTTATCAGCAACAGAAAACACAACAATGACAGAACCGCTACCAACGGCACCGACACCAAGAGCCAAATTATTTGTACATTTGAGCAACCAAAAAAAAAAAACAACAACAATGAACTTGATTGCGATGCTTAAGGTCACTACACTCACCAGTATGACCTCTAGTGCAGGTAGAATGCCCATGTTCGACAATGTCTTGAAGAAGGCGTCTCTGTTTTGAGGTTGTAACGTTTGTGAGAATGCACAGAATTCCTTTAGGAAGTTTACCTGTGAGGAACAAAGCGACACAGCTCCATGAGACAAGAGACAAGGAGAAGCACTGTTATATAACCTCTGATTAAATTATGGCATACCAGCTCGTGTCTTTTGTCGTCATCGGTTGCCTCGTCTGTTAGCTGTGCAAAGAGGTCTGTCAGGAACTTCTCATCGTCCTGACATCGAAAAGGGGAAGGGGAGAGCAGTGAGAAGATGATCAACAGGTCAGGGTATCAGTGATCCTCACATGCACAGCTGTGTGTCTGCTAAATTCATCTTAACAAAAATAAAATTCACAAGCACAGTAACATTGCGACATAAAAATCCCTCTTTAGTCTAAATGCACAATCCCAAATCAATAACGTACATTTAGGGTTTTTTTAAGAACCGTTGCAGTCTTTGTTATTCATGTCAGTTTAAATGCAGAGAACACTCGGTTAGTGACTGTCGGGACCTTTGTTTGTGCCTCATGGAAAATGAGGAAGAGAAGGTTCGTATCAGCGGTGTTTAACTTCAGAACGCCACACAACACAGCGCACCAGAGTCAACAGTGTGCCCGTTTCGGTTTTCCTCTAGCGCAGCATAACTGATTTACACAACACTTCTCTATCTCTATGGAGACAGTCATACATAAACACTGCTGAGTTGACACAGTACAAAAACACAAAGGTCACATGACCATAAAAGACTAGCAAACAATCTCAGACTGGGTATTCTAAGCTACGTACAATCCTGCAATTACTGTAAGGTTTAAGCCTCACTACTGGAAGAAATTCTGTTGTGTGAGGAGTCTGATAATCTGTGTGTTTGAAAAGCCTGTATAAATAAAGTTCATATACTTGGAGCTATTTTTTAAAATGAAAAGTGTGCCACATGCATAAATCTTGCGAAATAATAATAATAAAATCCATCACTGGCAAACCTCTTCCCACATCTCTGCCTGTCTCACCTGTAGCATGCCCACAATCTCCACCTTGTTGAAGAAGATGAAGGAGTGCAAGGTGGACAGCATGTTTTCCTCAAAAACAGAGGGTGTGGGCAGCACCATATCCTGAATATACTGCACCCGATACGTCTGGTGTATTTTCTGACGCAGTTCAGGATCAGAGATGGGGATCACCTCCTTAAATCGGGCTGTCTTAGTGAGAAACTCCCGATGCCGCCGCGGCTGCGGCAGTGCTGGGTCAAACTCCAGACAGCCAATGACGTCCATGATGCATTCGTCAGAGAACATAACCTCAAAGAGTGCAGTGCGATTCAGCAGGAAGATGCCTTTAATGATTTCGTACAGGTGGTGCAGTCCCTCTCTGTTCTCCAAATCCTCGCACACGCGGAACAGTTCCAAGAGCTTGCGAATGTAGCCTTCGTTCTCCACGGCCAGTGCCAGTTTCTCGCGTCGCAGTGGTGATGGGAGCGAGGAGGCCACGAGCTCGGCCAGGTCCTCCAAGCGGTTAAGTTCACATGGCGGTAAGTCCAGACCCGGCGACGACATTTCATCAAAGCGCTCCTCCTCAGACTCGTCCACCACGTCCTGTGTGATGTCCACCGAAGGGTCCTTTCCCTGCACCTTAAAGACGAGACAAACATGAGTGGCATCAGATATAACCAGACACACAAGCACTGATATGATATGCATGCACAGATGGAGCAGACACACGAGAGGTAGGGTTACCTGGCATATTTTCTCCCAGATTTCATCACAGCCAGCCTTCTCCTGGAAGCTAAGCGCCAGGTCATAATTTTCAGCCTCTGACCATACTATCAACGTATCCTTTACAAACAGAAAAACAAAGCCAATTACCAATCAATACACAGTAGAGGTCAGATCCATATGATATGCGACTACACTACACCTGGCTTCATACTGACCTGTTGTTTCTGGTAGGCTGTGTTTGGGTTAATTTTGGACTCCAGCAGCAGAGAACCTGTCAGGTTAAAAACAATGAGGGTAGGTTAGGGTGTTGCTACACACGAGTACGAGTTGCATCCGTGGCAGGTGATACAGATGGTTAAAATTAGCCCGCATTGTTCGTATTAATTGAGCAACCAGGATCAACGACAGCCAAGTGATCTATAAATTGACGTGGCCTTTGATTATTCACTTACCGTCACTCTCAGCTCGCACCAGCAGAGACGTGCCTTTCAAACGCTCCACATAGCACGAAGAGACGTGGCCGGTCCCACGGTCGTCCCACTGTCTGTCCTCATTGAGGGTATAGACTTTGACTCGTCGTCGGGTGTCCGTCATCCTGGCAGGTGGCTTGTAACCGGTTTCCCCCTCCCGGACCTTCTTGGCTTTTACAGGGTGTCTGCCTCACCTAGTAACGCCACAACTTCAATTCACTTTTGTTTTACACCTGTTCACTTCGACAATGCAGTATTGACTCAACTTGCGTGAGGGGTCAACCGGGATAGCAGTTCTTTGAAGCTGCTCAAAAGTGGAACACCTGGTCGTGGACCCAGGGAGAATCTATTCTGCAGTTACAACTACAATATCTGATTATTGGGACGAGCTGCCTCAACTTATCTCGCCAGGGTTGCGGGCGAAGCGCCACGCAGAATCAGCGCACAGACCATTGTAGCAGGCTAACGACAGTCTAATTTACAGAGCGGAGGACACTGACGCTAGCTAAGGCGTTAATCGACAAAACAAGGGCTGACAGACATTACAAAGTCCTAGCGTACAGCCGAGGGTGGAGTATTCAGAATAAACCCAATCGTTCCGGTCACTGGCTCACCGAACACTCTGCCCGCTTATTAGTACACTTTGTACGCTTGCATGTAACGCTAGCCAGATACGTTAGCTATCAGACCTAACGAGTTAACTAGCTAGCTAGTACGCTAACAGCCTACGTTCCGCACATTCAACGCTAAAGCACATTTTGAAGCAAACTGACCAGAGTTGTGCACCGATAACATTATTTCACACTTGCTGACCACGGACGCGGTTTAACTCTGAAGCAATGGTTCTATTTCTCCTTTAAATAATACGGCAGCTAGCTAGCGTTAGCTGCTATTTCTTCCCCAAGTGTTCCGCCATGTTCTGGCTCGGGGCCGCGGAGAGACCACTCTCTCCTTACTCTTATTCATGCATCCCAAAAAATATGCAAACCAACAAATTGGAGTCGTATAATCACTTCAATGTTACGATTTACATTATACTGCTATTTGCCATTCATTCCCGACGTCTTGCTCAGATAATTGCTAAGTGCCCCCCGTGAGTATTCAGCCATCTTGGGTCCCTTCAGAGTCAGTACGGGGTTTCCAGCACGGCAACAACAGGGCAGCCCGCCACATTTAAAGAGACAGTAACACTGCAGGCCACTGATGCTAATAGCGATCAGTGGATGCTCTAAAAGAGGTCCCATCCACAACCAACAACATTCTGTCTGAAGCTTTTTATACAACTTACCATCCAGGAACCATCCACCCTGTGTCAGTATTTGTCTGAGCCTAACCTGTAGAAAGACATTTCCTCACTGTACCACCAGTAAAAGCAGAGACCAGTCAGAAAACAATGGTTTATTTTCTTTAAATCAAAGAAAACATGAAACAGAGTTGAAATCGGATGCTGCACAAAACAAAATGTTTACAAAAAACAGCATTTTACATCACAGTGGTAATAGAAGAAGAACAGATGAAATGTGGAAAATTATTCTTCTTGGGATCAGGTCGATTTAGGGGGGCGTCACTATTCACACCTTAAAAAACGTATCAGCTGCATTTAAAGTCCACAGCATGTTCAAATACCCAGTAAAGGTATATTTATATATATATATAAAAAACAAAAAAACAGGTCACATAGCTTTTAGGGAAGAAGAAAACTAAAAGTCTGACAAACAAACAGATGTCATGATCTGGCCTGTGGAGAGTTTCTTCAAGCAGGGATCTCTCTCCATCAGTAAGTTAGTCCTTGCAGCCATTAGCCTCTTTCTCATGATAGTGTAACAAAATACTAGCATGCATATGCTGGCAAGCAAATGACTCATCTTCAGTATAAAGCCCACATATTTCTCCCTGTTTTCAGACCCACTCCCTTCACGATGTGTAATGTAATATGAAAACAATCCCCTTGTCAGACGAACAATGTTGTCCTCATACACAGATCAATAAGACGCTGTGAAACTGTAGTGCAGCGTGAACTCCTGTGTGTGTGTAGCAGGACAACAACCTGTCACCGACGACGCCTCTACTTTGCCGCCTGCTGAGCCTGACGCCGCAGCAGGACGTATATCTTCTCCTTAATCCAGTCTTTGTTGTATGGTTGGTATGTTTGAGTGTCCGCTCTGTAGCTGAATTTAAAAAAAAAAAGAAGATATTTTTACTGGCAGTGATCAACACACCCAGATAAAAGGCTGGCGTTCATTCAAATCCACACACACACACTAAATCATACTTACACGAGACAGCTCAGATCTGCCAAGTCGTCAATAAAGTCAAACAACTGACTAATGTCATACGTAATGGAGGGACTGTTTGGATTCATCCTCTTCAGATGCTCTTCATACATTTTGCAGACACCTGGAACAGAGATGTAGGACATACTGGCTGCAGTGAAAATCATCTCCAGCACCGTGGTTCAAGGGAAAACAGTTCAAGCTTAGTTTGGTGCGCACAGCAGCTTTGTCGATGTAAACAGGTGCATCAGAGACACAGTAAAGTCAATAGCATTCTCCAAAGGGGGACAGGATGAATACAGTATTATTAAAGGGGATAAAAGTCTGAAACAGAACATACAGACTCTGACATGCGATTAATGATTTTCTGCACCTTGAGCAAAACAATGAGGATAAAAGGCCCAACTTACTAGCATGATGTTGAAAGGTTATGGTACACATATCGTGCATGTAGTGTGCTCTATCATCACACAGCACAAACCATCTAATAACTAAGAAATATAATGTTTAAGAAACTTTGAACATACTACATGTTTATTATATTCTTATACCCAAGTACAGTAAACCTCATTCTCTTTCCTACAACTCATCTCAGATTGAACAAACTTTGTAAACACTTTATTTATGTCTTATTTATTGCTACTGTGGGAGCACTTTGATGACTGCTGTCCTCAATGTGCATTATTAAAAAAATGAATGAATCAAAAACAAAACTTAAGTATTATATCTTGTTATACTGCATGCTTAGGATGTATGTGTTGGTTTGAATTTGTTTTCATTGTTTGTCTTATATGACATTTACTATATTCTAAGACACTTCAAAAGGTGCCACACAAATAAAGTTATTTTTATTATTATGTGACCTCATTAATAAGGTCACCTTTGGTAATTAATTTCTATATTCTTCTCCAAGTCCAACCCCATAAAAAGACTAAAACCAACACAGATTTGATCGTTATTTTCCGCCTGATTCAGCTTATTCCGTTGTTCTATTTTTGTCCAAAACCCATTAAAAACACTATGAAACAAGGACTCGTGTTACTTCACTCCACAGTTCACTAAGAAAAGAACCTCTCAGCCTGATATCATGGTCACTTTCACACTTATTCGTTTACCACAAACCACTCTCCACAGGCTGGAGAGTGACTGTTGTTTAACTGTGTGTCTGTTTCTAACAAACTGAGCTTTGTACACACATGGCTGTAAGATTCATTTTGGTTATTCAGTGGTTACTTTAAGAGTAATTACTGTGGTCATCCTTTAGTGTATGTAGGTGTAAAAGCACAGAATAAAGCTGTATGTAGCTGAAGCCTAAATGTAAAGACAAAGCTGCACAGACTCACCTTCCATGCATTCATTCACTGACTCATAGTCAGCATACGTGCGGCCCTCTGGTCTCTTGGTCGGCTGGACGAGCAAAATTGTGTGCGACTGTAAAATGATTAATCATGTTTAATACACACAGTAATGCAGTTTCTCCCTTCAACACTGAATCATCTGCAGTCGATGGGACGTTTCTGAGTCTTGTGCTGGTACAATGAGAGTAAAACCTTCTGCCCAGTTGTTTCTAGCAGGAGCTAATGCTCGTCAGTCAGCAGACCACCGACTCTTAACGCCATTTACAAAACGTCCTGCATGTCGTTATTTCATCCAGTTTTAGGCTTCTCAGTCAAATTTGATTCACTTACATGCTAATAATAAAACTATATAATCACAGGGACAGAAGAAATGACAGTAAATACGTGTAAGAAAAGAGTAGTGAACGTTAGCTTCGTAGCTAGCTAGCTAGCTTAGCTGTGATAGACTAACAGGAGCTAACGTGGCTAATTCTGGGGATTATTACCGCTTGAAAAGGTGAAACTAAACACGCTTACCATGTCTGTGTTTGCTGCAAGCCCTCTCCGCTTGTTAGGGATACAAAAGTGCAACAAAAAATCGGTGTTTACCCCCACTCAAATCCCCGTGCGATGGAGCTGTTTGATCAAAAATACTCACGGAAATGACGTAGGTCCTTTTCTGGCTGTAGAGAGACGCGGCTTCGGAATAAAAGTTGTAGTTTCAGAATAAAAGTCTGGGCTTGAAACCTGCAAAATTGAATTTTATTTTGTGCGTGTGTTTAGAAGCATTTTGTAAGGGGTGAAAAAAGCTATGAAAAAAAAAACAGCAAACCGAAAAACACTGCTTCAAGTGAAAGCATATAGCCATTATCTATATCTGTCTATCTATCTATCTATCTATTTTTTCTTTTTTCATCCTTATAAATATATATAAATGTGTTTTTTTCCATCTTTATATATATTTATATATCTTCTTTATATATATAGTAGTCATAACAGTGCAATATATGTGTTTTTGCATCTTTATATATATATTTACATCTTTATTTCTATTTATATATATAATCTTTATTTACATATATATTAGGTGCACCTGCAACCAAGAATAATATGCAGAACTGTGTCCAGCTGCTCTTGTTTTGGTTGATTTTCATTTTTAGTATTTTAGCAACTTTGCCTTTTCTTATTTTGTTTTTTATCCAAGTTTCTTATTTGCGTGGCCTTATTCTTGTTTTTGTTTCCTGCGTTGGCTTCATTCTTAATGAGGCCTCATTACTCCAATGTCCCAAGGTGAGTTTAAATAAAGGTTGACTGAATAAATAATTTAATACCGGGTTATTTTTAAGTATTAATAAATGCCTACCTAGCATTTTAGTCTCTTCGCTGCTTAATGCAGTTTACAGTAGTTTAGACACTGATCGTATCCTGTTTGTGTTTAATGTCCTAATCTGCAAAGTAGCCAGAGCCCAAAGCAGTCAGTGAAGGAGGAAGTGCATTTGTCTCAGAAACGTATTTGAGTAAAAGCAAACAGCTGAAGAATAAAATAATAAAAATGAGAATCCTGGAGGACTCTGTTACATAAAACTGTATTTACTGGTACTTTAATCACAGCCGGTTACATCAAGACCTGTGATTTTGTTGCATATAAACAGACCAATGTTTAAATGAAAGAGGGCTCATATTCACTGAAGTGCACTTTCTTAAAGCACTGAAGATGAAGATGAAGATGAAGATAAAGACACATCACAACAATTCCAAGGTTACCAGAAAGCTGAAAAAGTCTTTATTCGATCTATGACTTAAGTTGGGTAATCACACGGTTTTATTTTGGTTCCGGCCCATGAGGCAAAACACACAAATGAATATTTTGATCATCACAAAGAAAATTCCAAAGATCAAAACGATGGTAAAATCAGATCCAATAGCTGTGATTATGTGTGTTATAATGGTTATTAGGTACAGTTTACCTTAAAGTCTGACGTTTATATGGTTGGTGTTACAATGCACGATTGTTTGCATCTTCATATATCTTCATATATATACTACACTTGTGTACAAATATCATGTGTTTTGTTTCATACAGGGGTACATGAGCGATCCCGTTTATTGGAGGTATTGATGGTAATCATGGTTATGCTCTCGCTCTCAGGATACTCCTGAAGGGCCCTCTCCTTGGGGGGTCTCTGCGAGGTGCGGCTGCCGGCTCGCTCATCCCACCTGCACACTCCCTTCGGCACGCCTCCAGCGACATGAAGTTGTTGCCGTTGCCCTGGCAGCCTCCGAACCAGAACTCGGTGCATTTGGCAGCACCAGAGTCGTAGTAGAACCGGACCTTCCAGGTGTCACAGGGGCCCTCGTCACGAGGCAGAGCGCACACGGTACCAGAGGGGGAGGCAACGGGGGCAGATGGGACCTGCTGAGTGAGGAGAAGAGAAAGGAAGTAAATCTACTGTCGGTCTGGTGAATTTAGCAGATATATACACAAATGAGCTAGAAAATTAAAACCACTGACAGGCGAGGTAAAAAAAAACTCTGATCATTATGTTACAACACAGGCTTCTGCTCAACCATAGGTCCATGCCCTGATGTGTTACTCTGACATGGACAATCCACAGTGTCCTCCCTCAGCAGGATCATAACGCTGCAAGGAAACTGCTCAGGAATTGCTCAAGAAACAAGACATTAAATCAGTTTCCACATTTAGATTTCAATCCAATCGAGGATCCAAGGGCCGCACCAACCCATGGAACCCAAAGGATCCACTGCCAAGACAGGACACCTCAGAGGGTCTCTGTCCACAACTTAATGGGTCAGAGCTGTTTTGGCACCATGATGTGGACCCACGAGGTATTAGGCAACGTTCTGGCTCATATATGCTAACACATAGCAAGTTAAAAGCTCCTATCTAGAGGTCAGCTTCTGATATAAAAGTCAGATAATCCAGTTATTTATCATTTTCAAGATTTGTGCTGCAGAAGCTGCAATGTTCTTTCTTGTATTTGCTAGTATGGTAAAGCTCAAAAATAAATATTTTTAAAAAATCCCCAAAGTGCATCTCAGCAGTGTTTTAGATCAACAGATTCTTTATTGATCCTTTGCAGGAAATAACTTTATTTCTTTGCATTAATTAGTTCTCTATTAGACCCTCTTTTTCTGTTTTTTGTGTCCAACTCAACAAACTCAATGTGTAACTTAGCTTTCTGTTTAAACTACACATGTCTTTATATGACTTTGGTTATTTCTCATGATGCCAAAGAGCCACAAAAAATTAATTCACGATTGTTTTATTAGGCTAAAAAAAACAAGTTCATCAAAAGGTAAACCAATATTTAATCATAAAATCATTAAATAATCTGAATTATTTAACTATAAATTCATTGAAATAAAATGAAATAAAGACAGGATTCCTACCACAGCTGTCTGGTACTCAGGACATCCAGCCCGTCCAAATCCTCGAGCTGGCGTCACTCCATCCAAACAGCAACCAAACCTATGATTAAAAGATTTCTTTTTAAGTCACGGTAACCTCTTCTTTTATTCAATAAGCTTCTCATCATTAATGTTCTCTGCTGGTTACAAGAGTGGGATCCAGGAAGCTCGTTACCTGCTGCGAACACAGTCGTCTGGTGAGCAGCCCTGGTGCCCGGCTCCGCTGGCGGAGGTGTGGCCGTCGGGGCAGCAGCCGTACAAAGACTGCTCACAGTGAGGACCCACCACACGAGGGTAGGACTCGTACACCGTGCTCGTGTCTGGCCTTTGAGCTGCAGTAAACACAGACGAGGTCAAACGTGATGTTACTGTGCATCCCGTAGATGTGAGAGTACTGTGTGTGCTTATTCTGTTTATAGAAGGTTTAAAATCACATGAAGCAGTCATGTTTACAGTGGATATGTTTAGATTCTGAATATGGCCATCCGTTAAAATCTATTAGAAACAGTACAGGCTTTGTGTTCGCCAGCGAGTTATAGAAAATTGCTCAATCATGGTCTAGACAGCAGCATTTACAAGATTCAGTTAATGTGCATTTTCCCTCTCGCCTGGAGAAACGTTCATTCAGAAATATAGTTTAACTCCAGTGAAATAGCTGCCTGAGCGTTCATTTCTCAAATTCCTTCTGCATCATTTTATTGCTGCTCTGGCTACACATGAAGACGTATAAAATAATTGCGTGCTCAAACGTGCAAAGAAAGAGAATAACATTTCCACAGCGACATTCCCAGCATACCTGAATACTCTGGAACATAGGGCACGAATCCTCTCACGGTGCTTTCCACCACCCTCGGGTCCTGCACACTTGGGACGGCTGCAGTGAAACAAGGTTATTAAAACCAGAAAAAAGCACAGACGATAAAGAGAAGAGAGTTTGCAGGATGTTCACATGTTGCTCACTTTGCACTCCAGGGCAGGCCTGTGAGTTGCACGTCTCCACAGAAACGGGCCTGCTAGCCGATCCGCACCGAGACTCCGGGTACGGGTTCAAATCTGTGTCGAAACAGTTCACCCTCCTCTCTCTCACGCCGCCGCCGCAGCTCCTGGTGCACTGAAGAGGCAAGAGAGGGCAGTAATGTGGAGGTAAAGTGGGTTTCTGGACTTTTGCAATCCAAATGACCTTTTTTCTTACCAGTCCGTACTCCGTCACATGCCAGGTGATGTGTGTGTGGCAGGCGGGCCGGCGGCAGGCCTGGACGGACGCAGGTTTGGCCAGTCCGCTGCAGGCATGGTCAGCTAGACGCTGGCCTCCTTGTCCCACGCAGTGAACCTCTCTCGTCTGCTGTCCCTCGCCACAGGTCACTGAACACTGAACATCACATGAGACAGCAAATTCAAATCTCGCCCGTCCATGAATTCATCCCAACCAAATGCCAAATGTTGTTCAATAAAACCATAACTTCTGGTTTTGTCTATGTTGGACCAGTGATTCTAGATACAGCAACATTTAAAAATAGATTGAAAACTGACTATAAAACTAAGTTATTCTCACTGTTTTTGGAAAATGCAAAATGCAGCAAAAGTTGACATTTATTAGGATGCTGTTGTTGTATTTCACTGTGCTCTGGATTGTGGTGTAGCAGCAGCAGCATATAATTAAAGTAAAGAAGTTCTCTGCGGTTGGACACAAACCACGCTGAAGCTTGACACGCTGTACTCTGCAGCACACGGATGCATGTTGCAGGCCTGCTGACTGGCTGGCCTCTGCAGGCGCTGGGTGATGCAGTTGGTCTCCTCCACCACACGGGGGTTGGACGGGTCCTGAGCCCAGCAATCCACGCTGCGGTACTGCATGCCTCCGTTGCAGCTGGCCGAGCACTCCCCGTACACGCCCGTTTTGTAAATGTATGTGAGCGTCGTACTGGGATGAGCGGCGACAACAACAGGACCAACGGAGTGAACAGAGTTGGTGTCGTCATCCAAGCCCATGAACTCTCCATGGGTCAGTACCTGGAAAGAGGACAAAAGATGGAGAATTGGTCTAAATTAATCAGGCAAACACCGATAAACGAAAGAGCACCATGGAGCTATTAAAGTAAAGAAAAAAAGAAATTTTGCAGTGAATAAATTGCTTTGTTTTTTTTTTAATTAAAAAAAAAAAAATCAACTACCTAATTAGAAATTCTTAAAACAAATCCAGAATCTGTGATTATTTTTTGGTCCAAAAATTGATTTTAGATGAGCACAGATGGTCTTTTGTCATTTTCAAATCATTTTTCCAACAGCTTTTTGGTGTCAAACTCTACATTATTCTGCACAGTGAAGCTCAAACATCCAGAAGAAATCACATTTAACTAAACATGTGTTTTCTGAGTAGCGAGAAACATTGAAGGGATTTTATGTCCTGAAGGTGCAACGATGACTCATCGTATAGATCTGAATGTGAAGGAAGATTCTGCAGAGCTTGGTCATTTTTTTCTTGGATAAATATTAGAGAACAATTATAAGAAAGCAAAAAAATCTGTAAATAACTGAACAGTTGTAATTGTTTGATCTCACCCTGCAGACGCCGTCCACACAGATGTCAGTGCGGCCCACGTAGCACGGCGTCCCATCAACCACCGCTGGCTTGTGTCTGTAGAAGAAGTTTTCTCCTCTTGGGACACAGTTCAGTTCACATGGATTGGATGCTAGAATGTTAAAGACACATACGTCAGCAAATGTTGTCTGCGCATAATTTCTAGTTTCCTTTGGATGTCACAGGATTTGATTTGCTAGCGTGATAAGGGTCAGGAAAAGCAGACAGCTGCTTTACATGAAGGCCTCTCACTGCTGTTTATCCAGTGATGGGAACTTCTATTTAATTGAAAAACCTGATAAATCCTGACACCTCTTTGACTCCAAGTAGGGTTGAATACTTTATCATTTCTTCTTGATACAGATATTGTGGCTGTGCAGTCTGTAGTAAGTCATGTACCTCCATAGTAAGGCACCCATGAGTGGCGTTTGGACTGGAAGTCCGTTCTGTCAAACTGGGAGCACTGCTCCTCTCTGAAATCCCTCGATCCGACCGGGCAGTCCTACAATGACAGAAAATGGAATTAATATAACAGATAACCCACATTATTGCTAAGTGTATACCTCTTTTTCTTTTAAACAGGATCCTTACTTGTGTGTTACAGGTTCTGAAGGACTTGGAGGATCCTATGCAGTTATGTCCTCCGTCTGTCCTGCAGGAGAGAAGAAAGAACAAAGACTGAGGCTGAGCAGTGACAACAGAGTCGAGTCTTTATGTTGAGTGAGATTCAAACGTTTAATAGTAGATAAAGCTTCTAGCCCCTGGCCTACCTTGAGGTAATACATTTCCTGGTTCTCATTGCCACCCCTGTTCCACAGGTTCTGCTGCAGGGCCCGTAGGCTCCGAACTCGCCCCAGTAGTCATGGGTTGGCCGCGTCAGCTAAAAACAAAGTGAACTTCTTTTCACCCAGCGTCCAGAACATAAAGTACTCTCATACAACATATCAGAACTCACCACGAACCACCACGGCACACCAAGAGCATGCTATAGACTCTAAAATAGACGCTGGAACATTTGGCCACAAACCATCTCCTGCATGTTGCATAACGTCCGTATAATCCTGCCTTGTGACATACAAACAGCATCACCGCCGTCACGTGTCACAGAGGAAATATAGGCTTTTTTATTCATGTTGACATTTAGGATTTATTTGATCTATCTGCGCTGAATAATTACTCATGCTGACGAGCAATTAGTAGAATAAAATGGTTTAAATGGAGACTCACTGTAAAAGCAGGTACAGCCAGAAGCTGCAGGAGTCCCAGGACGTGCAGGATGTTCATGTTCACAGATCCAACTGCTGATGAAAATAAAAGCTAAATAAGTCAACTTAAAGTGCAAATACACGTGTTTAATACAAACAATGATCACAGTAACTCATGAGAGTGCATCAGATGACACCAAAACTCCTTGATGCCTCTTCTGATTCCTCTCCTGGTGATTAATAATAATAGAAAATATGCAAAGACAGATGAAAACATGCAAACAGTAAATCCACTAAGATCCTCACTTACCGTCTTGAAGTGAATTCCCTGTTGGCTCGACCAGGAGCAGGGAGGGATGTGAAAGTGAGCAGTGGCACCCAGCTTTCTATCTTCTCACCCTCTCTGCTCAGAAGCACCACAGCCCACAAAGTGTCAGATTTCAACCACACGGAGACACACAGGTTTTCTCTGTCCACTACTTTACTTTCTGACAATAAATATAAGGTGTGATTTGGGTTTGGCGCAGAACATTCCTCCGGGCTATTTATAGCTTTATGGTATAGTTTTGAGTCGACGGTTTCATTTATCTGAAATGCTTTTAAAGTTAAGTTGGAATTTCCTGCAGAAATGTGACGTTTGCATAACACAGAGAAAGAAAAAGCAAATGCCAGCATGCATCATTTATTCATTTCATCTGTAAACAACAAATGTAAAATTCATTATATTCATTGAAATTTTGCATTAAAAAAAACCTTAAAGTGTGATTTAGAGTGCAAGAGAGCCTAAAGTTTTCCATTGAGTGATTTTTTTTCTCTTTTTGCAGGTTACTGACCACTGATTGTTCCTTTTGCACATCCCATAACCACTAAATACAGCCCAATAAGGCACAGCACGGGGGCTGGTGGGAGGTAAACATCGCTTTAAGTCTTATTTTAGTGTCAAACCGCAGTGGAGCATATCCTGGATGGGAAGAGCGCATGAAAGAATCGGTGAAGAGCAGCATTCCTGTGCCAGAAATTCAGCGCGTTGGAGGAGCCGAGAGTAAAAATATATACTTACTATCAACACACAACGCCTGAGCGACGGGAAGGAAAAAATAACTGATGCATGAGAGTGTTTGTGCTTATGTTGGTGTGTGGGTTGGAAATAAAAACTGATGACAGCAGAAGTAAATCTTTAGTCGACACGCAGCAGCACAGACATCTGGAGGGGCTCGTCATCACCTTCAGGACGGGAGCACATCCAGCTCAAAAGAAATACGACAAATTGTTCCTTTAAATTCAAAATGTTTGACTTTTATTAAATGTATGACAGCCAGGTGATGGTTATACTTATTTTTTGGGAGTTGCTTTCTTTTTTTTCTATTGCATGATATTCACTCAACTAAGTTTCATAATAGAGATTCAAGGATGTGACAAATTCCTTTTTCAGTGATCGTGGTTGTCACATTTAGACCTAAAAAAAGCAATCTGCACAACAAAAACTCAATATAACACCATTCAAACATCTCATTAAAGCATTGTGTCAAACCTCAGCACCTCACCACATCAGCAAAGCCTTCCAAACTGTATCTACAAATCCCAAACCACCACCCCACACAGCCTTGTTTTTCTTCACGCTCTCTCTCAAGCAAAGTCTGCCAGTCTCTCTGTGGTCCCTTCACAGCTGCCTGTTCAGCTTCTGTGCTTGCTTCTCTTTGGCTTCAAAGGCACTCTTGGTGCTGAACAGGTCGTCCACCGTGTCCACGATCTCCTGCATCTCCCGGGCCAGCTCAGCGTAGCTCTCCTTGAGCTCCTCCTGCTGCTGCCTCAGGTCCACGGCGGCGCGCAGCAGCTCGGTGGCCTGGTGGCTGCAGTGGCCCCTCAGCTGCTCCACGTCCGACAGCAGCACCCCCATGCTTTTCATCAGCTGCTCCAGACGCTCCGCGGTCACCTCGAACCCCGACGCGTCCGAGCTCCTGACCTCGGGGATCTCCGGTGTCTGGGCCTCGGCTTCTCCTCCCTCCATTGGATCCGACTCCATCCTCCTGTTATCTCAGCCACCTGACACTTCAGTTAAACAGATATCTGGAAGAAAAGGGAGTCATTTAGCTGCAGGGAATGATTATAAAGATTCAAATACTGAGCAAAGAAAAGCCAGAGAAGCAGAGCTGCTCCGACAGCCTTTGTCCCTCTCAGCTGGTAAGGAGTTTAAGCTCCTTGCAGGAGGTGAAAAATGCACTTCCTACTAATCTGCTCTGCTTGTGCACCTGCGTGGACGACGTATGTGTGCGCAGCATATGTGTTTGTGTGCCCAGGTGCCCTTTCACTGACATGTGCTGTCCTGTAATCCAGTTAGGGCCGCTATCCCCAGCAATACCCTCCCCAGTCCAGGCCGCTGGCGGCTGGGATGAGCAGCAGGCGGGACATCAGATTAGGTGGCTCTTCCCTCCTCCCAAACGTATCCACTACCTTGGCTGTGTGACCAGACGGATTAACCCCGTCCTTGTGGGGCTCATCTCTGGGCGGCCTTGACACACACACATGCACACACTCATATGCACTATATAATCTCTCTTCTGCTATGGACTGAGGTTTTGTGAATGTGAGGAGAAGTTTTGAGACGGATACGGAGCTGATTTGAAGATAACTGCAGCAGATAAATCTATCTCTAGAATAAAACAGAATGCCTTTATTATCATGTACAATTAAAATTAAGCAGCGATCCTGTCAGTGCAGTCACACAACCAAGACATTTTTAAAAGTACAAAATATAAAACATAACATCCAGTAGAAAGAAAATAAATAGCATGTGCAAGAGTATCTCTGCAAACAGTGGGTTAGCTTATTTCTTTTAAAGGTAGCATATTTGGTATATTAGGAATAATAAAAACAGTAGAGTAACTGATGATGCACTTATGGATATTTGTATGTTGTGCAAAAGCTACGAGCAAGTTGCAGTTATATGTAAACATGCATTGTTTCAGTACATAAAGCTGCATAAAGGTAGCAGTGAAGTAAGGAACTGATATGAAATGACTGCTCCAAATCCATGTCATGTAAAAACACTCTCACTGAACATCTCAGACAAACAGTTGGAGAGTAAATTAATCCCTTTTGCTCTTATACACGTTGCTTTCTACGAGTCTCCATGCTGAATATAAGGTGAGATTTTCTGGGAACGTTGTGAGATGATGCCCTCTGATGGTTCAGTTAGCAAATGATGCAAAACATCCCACCAGCACTGCATATCAAAGAGTTGTATGAGACAGAAAATGATGACCTGCTAATGACATGTGACTCAAGCAATCGTCAGCTTAAATTATTAATGTGGCTATCAGGCAAACTGCAGTAAATTTAGTCAACTTGTATGAACTCGATTGATGGCGAAGGGGCTGGAAAGCATGTTAAAGGGCCGGCAAACACATGCCCTTTAAATGGCTGTCAAGATAAGGAGTCGACACGATGACCTCACCACTCCTAATCTCTTATCAAAACAAGACAACTTGCTCTGAGAGGCCAGAGTCAAGGGGAAGACTCGCCTTGTTCTCAGAGCGCTGTAAACATGGGCTCTATCAGAGGAGCAGCAAGGAATAATTCACTAGGAATGCACATTATAAGTCACTAAACACACAGTCGAATGGAGGAACAGATATGTTCAGTAGCTGCAGCAGTTATTTTGCTATACATAGTTTAAAAAAAACAAAAACCACAAGTGCAAGTGAAGTGTCAGAAGACAAGTTAAAAACAACAATATAGTCTTTTTGTATTTAATAACAATGCAGGGACACTGGACACCGTAGTGAGCACACAATGTCTTTTTTATGTTTACAACAGGAGAAAGCAGTTCAGTACTAAAAGGAAAACAATCTCTGATATTGTACGTTTGCACAACACAGGTTTAGCTTGACAATGAAAAAATAAACAACAATAACAAAAAATGCTAGAAGGAAGCAAAAGCAAGAAAATCTGCACCAGTTCTTCACTAGAAGCATAAAGCAGCACCAGCTCTTGGCAGCTATAAACAAAGGAGCAATGAAGCAGTGCAGAGATATAATACTAGTGGTGTCGTATTAAACAAAACACACAAAGAAATTAGCTGACAGGATTCCTGGCCAGCAAAAAACAGTAAAAAAAAAAAAAGAGTCTTACTTGTGTCTGTGGTTATTTTCTGCGATGTTTCAGCATGCAGGCTGAAGATAATGTGTGTGAGAGGCATGTGTCCTTCCAGAGCTCGGTGGGTTTGCCCTCCTCACAGCTGATAGATCCACTCGCTGGGACCTCGGTCAGCATGCGGCTGATCAGCAGCTAAACACAGAAATGTCACATGTTGGCTCTTCATGATTAATTCAATCAAATTAACACGATTTTCTAGATTCACAGTATTTTGCTTTTTTCTTTAATTTATCACCCATATGTATATTCACACAGTGGGCCGGTTCTGTTGTGCTGGTTTGGGTCCATTTGATCTCTTTAGTGGAAAAGGTCACTGCAGGTCAATA